GTCCAGTTAAAATACGGGTATGGTCATGTTGGGTCAAACAATACAAAATTCGACCCAAATCCTGCCCACATCCCAAGCCATTTAATTTTTTTTTCCAACTAGTATTTTCACTCGTGTGATGCACATAATGGATTTGTTATAATATTTGGATTGATATACAATTATTTAAATTATATCGTCAAATTTATATAGTGCAATTGAAGAAATGGTTTGGGGTCGTTTATGTTTGTTGATGTTATCATTGTTTGAATTCGAACAAATAATTGCTCAAATTAATAACTAATGTGCAGATGTACGCATGCGGTGTTGTAACTTTATAGATTTTATATATCATTGTTTAGGATTTTTATAAATTGGGCAAATGTGCTCGTTCTCTAGCAACTTAGTTATAGTAATCAATTGATATGCTAATTCATTTGTAGATGTACACATGCGGTGTTCATGTTTAGGACTAAAAGGGGACTGGAGAGCAGGTTGTGGTAAAAAAAGACTTTCGTAAGTCTTTTTTTTTAGTGTTTAGTTATCAACGGAAAATACGCATTCTAGTCAAAGGAAAAAAATCTGTAAAAATTCCACCAAAATGGAAGACCTTTCTTTGGAGAGCTTTGAGTGATATTCTCCATACCACTAACAAATTGCTTATAAAGAGGGTGAAGGTTGATCCTACATGTGTCATGTGTGGGATCAATCATGAAGACACTATGCATTATTTGGTCTTGTGTGATTTTGCTAGCTCCATATGGCGTGAATCCAACCTTCCAATCCCCAATTTTATGACAAATATCTTCACTCTTGGTTTGAAGAAGTTTTGAATGTTCTAGACACTAATCAAATGATGTTCACAGCTGCTCTCCTTTATTTTATTTGGAAAGCACGAAATGGGGCAGTGTGGGAATTCTTCTTGCCGACAGCGAGGAGACTGGTCGCATCCGCGCACCGCCGCCATGCATGCCTGGTGTTGTGCCCAGCCGGACAACAGCCGACATTCCCCTACGAAACAGCCTGCTTCGTCTCACGCTAGGGATGACAATTTCAATCCGCCCCGCGGATATTCACCCGAATCCACCCCGCATGGATCGGGTTTTTTTTGGGTGGTGGTGGGTGGTGGGTCGGGGTGGGTCTTAAAAAAGTAAACCCGCGGTGGGTCGGGTTGGATTCAGGTTCTATGTACAAAACCCACCTAGAACCCCACCCGACCCACCATGTAGTTATTTATAAAAGTTTTTATAAGTTCATGTAAATTTTTACTATTTTTATATCTAAACTACTAAAGTTTATTTTTAAAAATTAACAATTTAGTTATTATATTTAAATATTTCTATTATTTTATGTTTTATATAGCTAATGAATTTTATTATTTTATTATCTGTAGGTAATTTAAATATTATTTTTTGAAAAAAAAAATAATATGATTATAAGTGGGTGGGTACCCGTAGTGGGCACCCGCACCCGGTGGGGGTGGGGAGTGGGTTTTGAAAAAGTCCATTCGATGCGGGTTGGGGGTGGGGGTGGGTGGAGAAAATATAAGGTGGGTCGGGTGATGGATGTAGCCCTCCCCGGCCCACACTCGACCCATTGCCATCCCTATCTCACGCTGCCGCCCCTTTGCGAAGGTACTTGTTCGATGCCGGATATCAGCCTTCGACAAACCGCGCCACGGTTGGTGCCATGCTCTTCGGCGACGATGGAGGTTTTTTTGCAGCCTTCAACAACGGACTTCACGATTACTTCTCCCCATTGATGGCCGAGGCCCTAGCATGCAAGGAGGCATTATCATGGCTAAGGGATCGCAGAGAACACATGATAGAGCTTCACACAGAATGTTTGACCCTACAACATTACTTGGCCTAGATAGCCGGTCCTATTTGTTCTTACGCCGGCTATGCTATTGATAGTTGCAAATCATATATGTCTTCTTTCACTAGTTGCTCAATTAAATTTGTCCTTAGATCAGCTAATTTAATAGCTCATTTGCTCGCTTCTTCGGTTTTTGCTCAGACTACTGCTATGTATTGGGATTCTATCACCTGACTCTATTTTCGGTTTTCTCTAATATATGCCGTTATTGGTTGCTTAAAAAAACACATGCACACAATTAATTAATTAATTAATAATAAGATAAATACTAATTTTTTGAGTACTAGATAAATACTAATTTGCCAAGCATCTTGTGCTCAGATGACATGCAGTGACCTCTCCTATGTGGGAGGTCATGGGATTGATCCTTAGTGGAGACGTTATTGATTTCGTGTGCTTCATTAGGTTGAGAAAGTATGTTTGAACATATACTACAATGTAATAGAGTCATTCCAATATTACACTGTTAGTCTTTTGTTAAAACTTTTTAAGGAACATTTAAAAGTACATAATATATTAAGTATATTTATATAATTTGAACCATAATTTACAATATGCATGGTTGACCTTGATCCACAAAATAATTTGTGGGGTCAAGGACGCCGAGAGTGGGCAGAAATATAATAAGGATGGGTCGGGTGGTGAAAGTAGTCATCTCTTACCATTGCCAATTAAAGTAGGTAGGTGGTAAGTGTGATTGTGTGGGGGCAAATGGACAAATAAAATATGTTGAAGTATGTAGATATAAATAATGTGATTATTATAGTTGAAATAATACTAGTATTTTTTATGCGCGATGTGTAAAAAATAGGTGTCCAATATTAGTACTTTATATTAAAATTTTAAATTTATTTAGATTTTAAATATTTAAATTACTCTAAATAATAATAATAATAATAATAATAATAATAATAATAATAATGTAAAATATTTTTATAAATTTGATATTTATATTTTAGAAAATAACTAACATATAACTCCAATATATAATGTGTATATATTATTATTATTATTGAAAAATATAAGAAAATATATGGTGGATGCACGCGCAAAGTAACAATTGTGGAAAAGATAATGGAAGTTATAACGGTAGTCGGTAGGGGTATGTTTGTCCAAAATATTGTAAAGTACAACTTTTATAGCATAATGTATTAAAAAACTTAACGAAAAAATGGACATAAATAAAGGGTATAACCTTCATTCACACTTATTATGTTTTTAGAAATTATGTCTATTTTTATCATATTATGAAATCATAATACATTATTCATGAAAATTTATGAGACGTTACACATTTATGTCATTTTATCATATTATGTAATCATTATAATATTGCGTAATTTGAAATAAATACTCAAGATTATTATAGTTGAAATTATGTCTATTTTTACCATATTATATTATGAAATCATAATACATTACTCATGACAATTTATGAGACGTTACTTTTTTTTTTTTTTTTTTTTTTTTTGAATGTTACTAGCTCTATTACATTGTAGTATCTGTTCATTATGAGACGTTACTTATTTATGTCGTTTTATCATATTATGTAATCATTATAATATTGCGTAATTTGAAATACAATACTCATGACAAATTACGAGATATTACTCATTTATGTTGTTTTCTCATATTATTATAAAATTATTGTAAGATTGCATAATTCAAAATAACATACAACACTAAATAATCATTTAACATATTTCATATCAATTAATGAATATAAAAACTTAGTACCATACATGATACATTATACATTATACATTTATACATCATAAATTAACCTACATTATAAATATATCAATCATAAACTAATACACATTATAAATTTATTAAATACACAATTCGTAATCACAATTATACAGTTAATAAGATATAAATAAAATTTACAAATTAAAATTCGTAAATTTTATAAAATATTATTAGAATTACGAGTTATATTAAAAAAAATCAAAAAGATTTGGAGATGTAGTTTTTTTTTTTTTTTTTTTTTTTTTTTTTTTTTAATTCATAATACTAATACTAGTTAATAAAAATGAGTGGAAGGGGGTGGGGGAGGGCCGATGGGGCAAGTTGGAAAAATATATAAAACTAGTACTACTTTTTTAGAAAAAAATTAATGGGGAGGAGACAAACTGTACTCCACATATAGATAAATATAAAAAATTAATGGCGAGGGACAGACTGTACTCCACATATAGATAAATATAAAAAATTAATGGGCAAGTTGGAAAAATACATAAAACTAGTACTACTTTTTTAGAAAAAATTTAATGTGGATGAGACAAACTGTACTCCACATATAGATAAATATAAAAAATTAATGGTGAGGGACAGACTGTACTCCACATATAGATAAATATAAAAAATGAATGGGGAAGAAATAAAATGTACCCCACGTATAGATAAATAGGTAGGTGAAATACCGTGGTAGATGTAGGGTAAATAAATAAGCGTGATTTGTCAAAATTTGTAGATATAATTTAGGTGATTATACATGAAATTATGTTTATTTGTTTATTAAAAAAGTTTAAAGAATAAAACAAATTCAATTTTCAAAATAGCAAGATACATAAGTAATATATTTTAGAATTTCATTTTGTTTAAAAGTCTTTTAAGAAGTTGAGAAATTCTCTAATTAATAAGTAGGGGCTGAATGTTTTAACAAGCTTATGCAAAATATAATGGGTAGGAACTAGGAATGTTGGTCTGTTGGATGACACGCCCCGCATATTGCTATCCTTTTAAAAAATGCAATGCATCCAAACATGGCCTTTATGGATTAAAAAACGTTTTCACCTTTTTTTTTTAAAAATATTAATTTTATTATTATTATAATTATAAAAAAATAGGTGATACCAGATTTGTGAGACTAATCATAAGACCACTAAATCTAGAGCTATTTCAGAGACATATAGAAATTATAGATCTATAATATATAAATTATGAATATAGATTCGTGCACATAATGTGCATAGTGGGGGCTCACAACACCTATAAATCTAGGACCAAAAATAAAAGTAAGTATTATTATTATTATTATTAGTCCGTATTATTATATGAGTGGGGCCTAAGAAGAAAGCAATCTGCGTCTCTGCATTCCAGCGCATATATAATCCCCCGCCCACAGGCATAGAAAGATGCACACCGCACTGTGCTCTCTGTTCGTTCTTCTATTTGCTCTCTAAACGTGCTGCACTTTCTGAGCCGAGAGAGAGAGACACTCCGCCGTTGTGATCGGACGCGTGCCAGAATGGGGCGAGGAAACACTGGCGGAAGCTCCGCCGGTGGGAGAGACAAAACCCCTAGAGGCGGCAAGGTGGCGCCGTGGGACAGTGATGACATAATCAAAGAGTTGAAGTTGGAGGTTCCGGACGACCTTCGCTGCAAGAGGACGGACGGCAAGGAATGGCGCTGCTCAGGCTTTAGGATAACCGGCAAAAACCTATGCCAGAAGCATTTTCTCCAGCCTTACATCCGCCGCTTAAACCTGGAGAAGAGGGACAACACTGTTCGCTCTCCTCCAACCGCAACCGCTCCTAGGGCTTCCAAAATCGGCTCTGGAAGTCGTCAAGGGGATGGCTTTGCTGTTAGTAAGGTTCGGAGGTCGGTTCTGTCGGTCAAGAGGGAGAGAGGGAAGCGAGCCGAGGAGGAGTCGCCGGCGACGGCGTCTGATGATGGGATACCGACGAAGAAGCGGAGAATAAAGGGGAATGTAGAGGGAGAGACGGGAAAACCGGTGAGGAACAAGAAGAAAATCGAGAGTGACGGGGAAGAGGTGGAAAATAAGGAAGCAAACTTTGATAAAATCCCGATGACCACAAAAGGGCAGAGGACGAAGAGGTATGGAGTAGGTGTAGAGAGAAAAGGGGAAGGCGATGAAAGAGTAGAAAATGCTGATGATGAAGTGGAAGAATCAGAGGACGAGAAGGTTTGTAAATTGTACATGAACAGGAAAGAAACTCATAAGAATAAACTGCAAGGCCAAAGAAATAAAATTGAAAGGAAGCAAAGTGATAACGAGGAATTGGAAGAAAATGAGGGTTCTGAGAGTAAGAGGGTTGATTCTGAAGAAGAGGAGGAAAATAAGGGTTCTAAGTGTGAGAGGGTTAGTTCTGAGGAAGAGGAGGAGAATGTGGGTTCCAAAACAGGTGAAAAATTGAAACAGGAAGGGGTAGGGGAAACTAAGGAAGATGATGGGGACACTGGTGAAAGTGACCCTGGCAATTTGAAGAGTGTTAAAACAGCAAGGATAGGCAACAAGGATGGCAAGAAGGAGTTGAGGTTGGGTAAGGGGAAGGAAGGTAAAAACACTGTCACCTCTGGTAGCTCTGAGGATACTGAGAGTGATGAGTTGGTAAAATCTGCCAAGAAAGGTGTCACAGCTGCGCCTTTAACAATAGGTAAGATGTTCCAGGAAAAGGAAGGGGTAAAAATGAAACTAGATGTGAAAGAAGAGAAGAAAGATGTTATTTATCAAAGGAAAAAGAAGAAGAATCTTTATGGGCTTGCCCATGAAAGTGATTCTGAGAAGGGGAAGGACAGTGTAGCAAAAATGGGGGATGCAGGTGGCAGTAAGAAATCACAGTTTCTAGATAAGGAGTTACCAAAAATAAATTTTGAAAATTCAAGGAAGGGCTTCACTAGTTTGGAGAAATCTGCTAAAACGGGCTCTAGAAGTCAGTCACTATTGAAGACAAAGGATAAGGAACTGCAAGAGAATAAAGGGCTAAGGATAAAATCAGGAGAGGATAAGGGAGATGACAGGGATGGGCATGGAAATTTCTCCCTACATGAGAAGCGTGCTAAGGTGGTTAAAAATGGAATTGGAAGTAGTAAATACAATTCACAGGGAAAGAAGGATGACTTTGCAAAAAGAAAACTGGAGAAACTGGAGAAAGAAGGTGGCTCTGATGCAAATTCTGATTCAGACAAACAGTTTTCTGCTAAAATTGTTAGACATTGTGTAAAGGGTGTCCCAAAGGATACTTTATTGAAAAGAAATCAGAAATTACAGGATAAGATAAAAATTGAAGATGGAGAGGGATGGAAAGATGATTGTAATTACTCAGAGGATGAGGAGGGTCAAGGAAATGGTGCAGCTGGCAGGAAGAGGCCACGGTTAGAGGGGGTAAAGGAAATGGCACAGAATGGTGAGAATGCTGATTTTCTTGATGACTCAGGGAAGAAAGGTGGTGCTAGTTCAGTTAAATCTCCTGGAAAGAGTGTCGGAGCTGGATATATGGTGAACAGCAAAAATAAGAAGTTGCAAAAGAATAAACCTATCAAGGTAGAAAAGGCACAGAGTGGAAATGTAGCAAATTATAACAATGAAGAAGATTCAGGCTCTAGCTTTAGACCTGAGAAAAGGATGAAAGAAGATGGTAGGATAGACTTGTTCCAGAAAAGGAGGAATGACAGCAAGTCATCAACTTCAATGAGCGAAGGCCATAAGGAATGTGGTTTTCTTAATGAGTCAACAGGTAAAGGTAATCTTAAGAAAGAAAAGCTTGGTGGAGTAAAATCAAAAGTCGATCTGAGGAGGAAGCACTTCAGTAATGATGTAAGTCCATTTATCTGACCCTCTTTATGGTTCTCTACTTTTCTATTTCTTATTTACACATCTTGATATGATTTAATACACAGGATCCGTATGACAATTGCCAGATGTGCCATCAGTGCATGAAGAGTGATAGAAAAGTTGTTCGTTGTCGCAATAAATGCCTCAAACGCTATTGTATTCCCTGTATTACAACATGGTAATGAAGTTTTATTAATGCCCAACTTCCAAAAGTTTATCTACCTTAATCCTACTAATTGGATCTTTGCCCATTAAGTTTTAGTCCTTACTTTATTGAACTTCTAGAAGATTATGGAATATATTGTAGGATTTATGGTACAGTAGAGATTCCTAAATAGTATGAATATACAGTGTTGAAACGAGAATTGGCCAATGCTAATGAAGGGCATGGCCAAACTGGTAGGGGTCTTTAGGAGTCTCTCAATTCCTGCCAAATGCTTGCCATTTATGGGAAAAATGAGGGTGGCCATTATAGGCCTGTATGCTTCTGACCAGCTGTGTTAGATCTGCTTCTTACTTTATTATGTTTTTGGATTGTTGAGGTGGTCTTAGGTTTATTGTGCATCTTTGTGTAAGTTGACATCAAAAGTTTTATTGTAAGTTTGTAGTTTTGCGCACCACTATTTTAGGTTTGGTATGATGCATGCGTAATTCTGAGGGTGCTATAACTGGATTATATGTGGGGGTGTGATCTCTCTTTTAAGGAAACTGTATAACATCTTCATCTCAATTATATTTGTATAAGCAGTGATGGGTGAGGCTCTGAGAATATAGCCAATAGCCTAGGGAATCTGGGAATGACATACCTTATTGCATATGGGTTTTGGATTTACTCAATAGCCTGATAAGTTTTAAGAAAGTTGTCTAAACTCAAGAACTCTAGTTTAGGAAATAAAGTATTATTACTCAGTTGTTTTATTGCTTTAGATTCCTTCCATTTTAGGAACAGATTTGTAGGATTTCTAGTATCCCTATCACATGAAAGTAGAAAGATCTATCAATATTATAACCTTTTTACAACCCTATACATTCAATTATGTTGAAATGCATATTTTATAGTATAATATTTCTCTTGTCATTGTTGGTCTCTACGTGATTTCTGACAATTGGAAATATACTTTGGAAGGAGAAATATATTGATTACCTAAGAACTCGATCATACTTTTGGTCATTGGTTATTGATCACATTACTTTTTGTTCAAATACATTTGCAAAATACTTGCATAACTTTACGGAGGAAACAAATATTACTTTGGTCTGAAACTATGATTTTGTCATAGCTAAAATGCATGCTCATCAAGCACTAAAACCTATTTCCTGTTCTATGTCCAAAATTATTTTTTCTTAATGCTCAATATAGGTATCCTCAACTGACAGAGGAATCGATAGCAGAAAATTGCCCATTTTGTCGTGGAAACTGCAATTGCAAGGATTGTTTACGTCGACCTACTACATATAAGGTTCTTTTTCCAGCACACACATTTTAGCATTTTTTGCTGCATAAAATTTTTCTTTCTCAATATGCACATTTGACATTTCATTGTCCGTTTCACGGTTTATTACAGGGTTGCGAATATGTAGGAGTACCAAAAGATAACAATGAAAAAAGAAGCCGTCTTAAGTATCTTGTAAATGTACTCTATCCGTTTATAAGAAAGTTTGATCATGATCAAATGGCTGAAAAGGAGATAGAGGCCAAGATTCAAGGTATTAATCCATGTGATCCTATATCCCTACTCATTCACATGCTACAAAAGTTCTCATTTATGAAGCAATGCCTTTGCTTGTGCCAGTCTTATGTTCTGATGGGTTATGCCAGGACAATTGGCTTATAGCTAGCTGACCAGTATATCTTTCTTATTATTCTAAATTTCTACAGTGTCATAAGTGGTATAAAGATTTCTGGTGTAGAAGTTAATCCTTCCTTTACACAGTTCCCTTTGTGTAGACGCTGTTTTTTAGGGCATGGCTTCAATTTGGAATTAATACTTCTTGGGCACCATTTCAATTTAAGCTGTAACTAATTGTAGATAAAGGGCATTAGCTATTAGTGTGCGTGGTCTTTTATGGCATCTCAAAACAGAAAGGAGGCCAGTTCTTATGGGACATGGAAAAAATAGGCTATGGCCTTTCAAAAGGACTCATTCAGTGACGTAGTATCAGAGGCAAAGAAAGTGCTGTGTATGGGACATAGTACTCTAAGCAACCTTGATATTACTTTCCTGACACTGCTGCCATTTATCTTAGTTTTAGAACTTTATTACCTTAGTTAAAAATGCTTTTCTTTATTTTATATTATTTTATTTTTTGGTGTTTTCTAACTATGTTACTATTTTAGTCTTTAGATGTCCAGTTATGTTAAGGGCTTCAGTTTTGCAATTGCAATTTGGGTATTAGGAGAGTTGAATTAAAATTTTCCAATTTCGTGGGGCTTGGAAAGGTTTTCAAAATAAAGAATGTAATTGTTATGCTGCTCATTTCAAATAAATTTGCATATTTGGTAGAAAATGATGTACTTGATTGTTTATTGAACATGCTGACTTTTCTGAAGGGGTGTCATTGTCTGAGCTAAAGATATCACAAGAACATCATTATGAGGATGAGCGTATCTACTGGTATATTTCATTCCTTAAGTGATAGGCTCATTCCTTAAGTTATAGCTTATTCGCTTTGTTCTGGAGTATATCTTTATTGACGTCAAATATAATGATATCTTATTTGACAGCGACAATTGCAGTACCTCCATCGTTGATCTCCATAGAAACTGTCCTATTTGCTCATATGATCTCTGCCTGTCCTGTTGCCGTGAAATTCGAGAAGGTTGCTTGCAAGGAGGTAACGAAGAGGTCATGGTTCAATATCTTGATAGGGAGAAACCATATTTGCATGGAGACATCTCACACTCGCATGTAAGAGGTTCTTCAGAGCTATGCAATGATTCAGCAGCTGAGGATCAGGCCAGCAAGCTTCCAAAGTGGAAAGCAAGGGAAAATGGCGAAATCCCTTGTCCACCAAACGGAAGGGGAGGTTGTGGACATGATAGGCTAGAGCTTAAGCATTTTTTTGCTGAAAACTGGGCTTCTGATACAATGAAGAGAGTAGAAAACTTAGTTGAAATCAATGCCTTTTCCAATGAGACTCAAGTTCCTAAGGAGCAGTGTCCCTGTTTCAGATTTGACACTGATCATGGTGCTAAAAATATTAGGAAATCTGCTTCAAGAGAAGATTCTAGTGATAACTATTTGTATTGCCCATCAGCAAGTGACATCGAGAATGGTGACCTTGAGCACTTTCAGAGACATTGGATCATGGGAGAGCCTGTGATAGTTAGAGATGTTCTTGAATCTACATCTGGTCTAAGTTGGGAACCTATGGTCATGTGGCGTGCTTTTCGCAAAATAAGCATCAAGGAAGGTACATCAGATTTGGAAGTGACAGCAATCGATTGCCTTGATTGGTGTGAGGTACACTTTTTGTTCTCTATTTTATATTATTACCATGGCGTTCCTTTTTTGTGTAATTATGATCATGGTCCTGTTGGTTTAAACCGTCTTTCCTCATACTCTGTGAAAACACTGGCAAAACACACTTCAAAGTGGACACCCATATGGGGAATTCCAATTAAGCATTTAGTTATCTGGTTAAACCCCCCACCATCCCACACACAACTCTCTCTGGGCCCGCTTTTCTCTCTCTATGCTGGATGGGGTAATGTGCTACAGAGTATTTATTAAGATCATTTTTTATTCAATTTTACATCTTTGGGTTTAAGGAATTTTCCAGAATGTTGTATAATGATTGTAGTCTTGATCCATAGTTGCAAAGTAGTTAATTGTGCTTGCATTTATTTCTTAATTTCTATTGTGGTTTGGCATGCAACACCTAATTCGTATAGCTGCTGTTGGATACCTAGTATAAAAGTTGGTAATAACTGAGGAAATAAGAGGAAGGCATCATACTACTGCCAGGGGAAATTTAAATGTTTAATTGCTGGACCATTTATAGTTTCTGTATAAACCTTGCTTTAACTTATCTTAATTAACATCCTATAAGAAAGCTGTGTTTTGGGACTGGCATGCGTCATCACAAGTTAGTTAATACTTTAAGGTGAAACATAAGCACTGTAACATTGCTACTTTGCTTTCTGGACTTGCAGGTAGGTATTAATATTCACAAATTTTTTACGGGGTATGCTGAAGGTCGGAAACATAACAATCAATGGCCTGAAATGCTTAAGCTGAAGGACTGGCCCCCATCTACTTTATTCAAGGAGCGGTTGCCACGCCATGATGTAGAATTCATTAGAGCCTTGCCATACAAGGAGTACACTCATCCTCATTCTGGTGTTCTTAATGTTGCAACAAAATTACCAAAGGGAGTGTTGAAACCAGACTTGGGACCTAAAACATATATTGCATATGGGTTTGCGGAAGAGCTTGGGCGTGGAGATTCTGTGACAAAGCTCCATTGTGACATGTCAGATGCGGTACGCAATTTTCATTTTCATTTTCATTCTATTATATATAACAGGAAATCCCATGTGAATCCAGGATTTTCGGAATGAATCAAAGTCAATAATCTGATCCTGAAATCTAGGATATCTTTCATAGAAGTTTCCTTTTATGGAGTAAAGAAGTAGAGTAATATAGGTTGTAAACTTTGAAATGGATTGCGATAGGAAATGATGACAAAGATATGGAAGCCTTGAAGTAGTAGTGCCTAGCAAAGGAGTTTGAAATAAGAGACATAGGGAGGCTCTAGTATTTCCTTGGAATTGAAGTGGCCTGATTTAAGCAAGGGATGTTTATCTCCCAATAGAAGCATGTTACTGATTCACTCAACGAAACAATTACAATGGCTAGTAAACCAGTCGCAATGCCCATTGAACAAAATATTAAGTGGTAGATAAAAAGATGTGCCAATGATTTGTGTGGAAGCTTATTTATCTTGCTCATGCTCACCCAGAGATATAGCATACTTTATGAGTGTTACACTGTTACCGATCAACATGCATGATCTGCACAGCCCTTTTGTCAGAAAAAATTGACACATTTAGATGAACCTCTTTTAAAATCCAATTGCGTATGCTAGATGAACCCAATTACACTGTTACTGATCCTATAGACAGTTAAACTCTTTAAAAATCCAATTGCGTAACTCACCCCCCCCCCCCACCCCCCCCCCTCTCAAAAAAAAAGGAACAATTCTCAAATAGATGTAATTCAATCTCTGCAGAGTAGATGTGACCTCTTCTTCACACCATTACATTGTGTGTGCATGTAATTACATAACCTGAATCCATAACAATGATGATGCCAATAGAGAGGTCCATGTGTGTGCATTGTGTGTGCATGTAATTACTCCATTTCTTCATCATGTTTGTGTGTGTGTGTGTGTAGAGAGGTCCACTCTTTGACGTTTAAACTATGTTGAATCTTACAGGTAAATGTTTTGATGCATACTACTGAAGTGCGTTTAGAGGCGTCTCAGCTTTCTAAAATTGGAAAGTTGAAGAAAACATATCATGCTAGTGATCTAAAACAGTTGGTCACTGTTGGTGGAGATGAACAAGGAGTTGAGAACCCAGCTCAGCTGCCTGCACATAACTTCAAGTCTGAGTCATCCAAGAACGGGCCAACTGATGAAGTTAGCAGTGGTATGGTGAATGTATCTGAAAAGGACAGTGTGCAGGATGCTGTGTCTTCAGATGCTAGAAATGAGGCAGATGACACTGCTGATGCCTTAGGAGTGAAAGCTGATAACACTGCTGAACTACTGACGGATAACAAATCTGTGCAAGATGAAAAGGAATGTCAATCAAATGTGAATGATGTCATTCTTTCTGACATGAATGTGCAGCAGGCGGGCGAGCTATCTTCTGATCAGAATATTTCATCTGAAGAGAAACCAAATGGGCTAGATTTATCAGATGGAGGTGCAGTCTGGGATATTTTCCGGCGACAAGATGTTAACAAGCTTGAGGAATATCTTAGAAAGCACCATAAGGAATTTAGGCATACACATTGTTTGCCTGTGAAGAAGGTAATTACCAACTTAACGCAAAGCACACCTTTGATTTAGTCTTTTTTATGCTCAGGAAAAGTAATTTGCTTTTGAATCTCACAGTTTCATATTGGATATATGATCTTTTCTTAAATTGGGAATGTTGCACATGAGTTTTTTTTTTTTTTTTTTTTGGCAGGAGATTTCCCTTGTTTGTGAGATTTCGTATTTTTGTGAACTTCAGGTTTGAAGTTTCAGACTAATTGACACTATAATCATAAACTTTTTAAATTTAATCTTGTAGGTTGTTCACCCAATTCATGATCAAGTTTTCTACTTGAGCTCATACCATATGAAGAAGCTCAAAGAGGAGTTTGGTTAGTTTTTTATCCACTGAATATTAAATAGATTTTTTACTCTAAAGATCTTATTTTTGGTTGTCTACTTGTAGGTGTTGAACCTTGGAGATTTGTCCAGAAAGTTGGAGAGGCAGTTCTCATTCCTGCTGGATGTCCTCACCAAGTCAGGAATATTAAGGTAGGCTTTAAAATACTGCTTTTGCAATGCTAATGATTTGGTCCAATGGAGTATCTAACTTGGCTTTAGTAGTATGAGATGCACTGAGGATGCACTGTGGGTGCACACATTATTTCCCATTTTGCATTGTATCTGGTATTCTCAAAATTGTGTCTCAACTGTCCTATTCTTATGTTTGGCAGTCCTGTATAAAGGTTGCACTAGATTTTGTTTCACCTGAAAATGTGGGTGAATGCATTCGCTTGACTGAGGAGTCTCGTCTTCTTCCCCAAAAGCACATAGCTAAGGAAGACAAATTGGAGGTGAGCTCTTCTCATCATTTGCAATCAAAAGAAAAATAGTAGCATGCACTTGAATCTACTGTTTAATTTTATAATTTATTTATATATATTCCCTATTGCATCCTTTGTTAGGTGAGGAAGATGACTATACATGCAATCGAAAATGCTGTGGCTGAACTGGAGAGTCTAGAAATGTGAGCATACAGACACCTTTTGCTCTCATTATTTGCTCTCTTTCAATATTCACCATTCTTTATTATTACTTGAAACCTTCACACAATTCTGTGCCTTGATGAAAAGGAAAATTGAAGTTGTTGATTAATAAAACAAAATACTGAATGCACTTCCTTTCCACCTATACAAGACGACATATAGAACGATGCTTTTATTTTATTTCAGTACTTTGTTGTTGAAGCTTCTTCCATTTGATATTGGCATACAAGAATTAACGAGAAAGATAGTTTCAGGAATTGCAAGGATGAGGTTCAGCAATCAGATGTGGATTCTACACCTCCTCATGAGTCATGATTGAGCTCCTCTCTCGCCAAAGCATCGTGTGCTGGTGCTTCTCAACCAAGTTACAGGCAACCAACCGTGAACCATCTGCTCCAGATAATGTACTATCGATCATGCTTTAGATAATGAATGTAGTGGGGGCATCTTGTAAGTAACTTGGTACATTTGATAGTAACTTTCCTTTGCAACTCTTCAAGTGCAATAGTGTTGATATCATAAACTCTTCTCTTTTGCCATTTCTTTCAAAAAATCTCTGGACCCAAACCCCCCATATGATATGATTTCCCCCAAAAACTAAACTAAACTAAACTAAAGTTGACTCGTGAACATGTGCAAATAATGTGCAACTCTAGTGATCTACTTCAATCTAATTCAATTAACCGCTCCTTTGCACAGCTCAAAACATGCTAAAACAAATGGTATGACTTATGAAAGTCGTGTAACATTAATTTGAATTTTGAAGAATTGATTTTAACAATGAGCAAATTTCACTTTTAGTTATCGACTATTGTGTCATTGTCAAATTTAGTTCTATTCTTTTAATTTTGTTCCCTAACTTTGAACAACTTTCACTTTTAGTCCTTGACTATTGTGGTTTTGCCACATTTAGTCATATTCTTTTAATTTTGTCATATTACATCCATGACTTTGAATAACTTCCACTTTTAGTCCTTGACTATTATGACATTGTCACATATTATTTTAATTTTGTCATATTACATCCATGACTTTCATTTGATTGTCACCATTAATCTTCTGTAAAAAATTCTTACACATATCGTAACTCATATTTCGAACGTATTAGAAATATCGTAAATATCAAAGGATGTAATATCGTAACTCATAGAAATATGAATTACGATATGTGTAAGGATTTATTTTCCTTTGTTATATGAGTTGTGATATTGCAACATAGTGATATAAGTTACGATATTGCAACATAGTGATATCTTAAGTTAACAAAATTTTTAACGGAAGATTAATGGTGACAATCAAATGAAAGTCATGGATGTAATATGACAAAATTAAATTAAAAGAATAGGACTAAATGTGGCAATGTCACAATAGTCAAGGACTAAAAATGAAAGTTGCTCAAAGTTATGGATGCAATATGGCAAAATTAATAGAATATGACTAAATGTGGCAATGCCAAATAGTCAAGGATTAAAAGTGAACATTGTTCAAAGTTAGAGATGTAATATGACAAAATTAAAAGAATAAGATTAAATGTGATAATGCTACAATAATCAATGCCTAAAAATGAAATTTGCTCTTCCAACAATAGTCCTTTCACTATTGGATTTTACCAAGTTTTATCTTTTAGTAAGTGGTTGGTCCTTCTTTGACTAGAGTAGTGTTCTAGATTTGACCAAATTTAAGAGTAGTGATTGTCCCAAATTTGTGTCGATTATATCATTTGTTTTAATACCCTTAAATATGTAATCTAAAGAGGTAATTTTGCTAATTAATATATTTTTTTTCATTCTTACCCTTAAATTTAATGTCTATTAGACAAATATTATATTTTTAACTAGATGATTAAATTTGAAACAAAATCATACTCAAAGAACCAATTACGATCAAATTAAAAATCAAAAATAAAAATTGATAAATATCAAAAGTCAATGAGCATTCTTGAAATTAACTCTATTTTGATTCATATTATTTCTTTACTGACATTGTAACTTAATATTTTTCATTTAAAACTCACATACATCACAAACCTCTAAGGTATGTGTGATATTCACAAACCACTATGAACATCTATAAAGACAAACAATCCCACTATGTAACCCTTTGAGCTGATGATCTTAAACCCACCAGGTACAGACTTCTTGTACAGCCACATATCACTATATATATACATCAAACTAACATTTGAGAGGGAAATATGAATCATATATGATCAGACATGATTTAAGGATGTAAGAAAGTATCAACCCTTGTGTTATCTTTCCTGGACAGAAACTTCATGCAAATAGGTGGCTTCACCCCAGCCAATGCAAGTATTGAATCAGGCAAGGTCCATATCCCATCTCCACATATTAGTCCAGAAGCCACAGCCGGTCCAAAGGCGTCGGCTTTTGCCCGGTTTATCTTCTGCCACACGAACAATATCACCGTCCCAACAAACATATCAATCGCGAAGTAGCTACCAATGTAAAACGGTATAGCCATTGCCATTGGAAGGGGAATGAACCGCGCCCACTTCTTCCCCACGCCATCCCTCACACCGTTTATAACAATAGCTCCAACGAAGAATATATAGCATAGTGTAAGGCAATTCTTTGGCAGAGCTGAGAAGCCTTCGACCCCGAGGATGGCCATGTTACGAAAGACAGCAGCGTTTGGGGCGGGGTACTCCGACCCAGTTTTACCCAAATTAGGGAAAGCGTTGTAGAAGATCCAAAACACGAGCGGGGAGATCACGCACCCCATGGCAGTCCCAATAATCTGGCTAACGAACATGGACCGAGGAGAAGCCAGAGTCATGTACCCCGTTTTGAAGTCCTGTGTGAGGTCCGAGGCGGTGGAGACAATGTTCATCATCACACCACACGCAGCTAGCCCCGCAAGAACCCCGCCGTGAGACGCCCCCGCCCATGCCCCGATTATGAAAATCGCGAGCTTTCCATAAGTTGACGCGAGTGACCAGTCAGTGAGGCCAGCCCCGTAAGCATTGCAGAAGGCTAGTAATGGTGCAAAGATATACATCACCAAAACGTGGTACCACTTGAGTTGATGGAAGATGTGCGGGATCGTTATAATGGAGATTATGGCAATCACTACATAGCCCACAACCGCAAACCACGTAGGGATTTGGTCCTTGAGGAAAAGCTGGGTTCTACGTTCATCATCAAAAGACACCGAAGTTTCCCCAGGAGAAGGGCGCCCGGCAACTGGCAAGACCGATTTATTTCTTAATTGGCTATATAAGCCATATAAGGTGCGGCTAAAGACTTTGCAGAAATTGTAAAGACCATCCCCGAGAATCAAAGCAATTGCTATGAACACCTGTATAGAATGCAATTAAAAAAGGCTACAAATATTTGCCACAATATAACAGAAAATGGTAAGGATTATTACCCTGTAACCTTGCAATCCGTTTAGGCTACCATCACTTAGATTTGCAGGAAACCAGTCGCCCTTTCTTTCCCGTAAGAGAGGCCACATTATCCCCCACGAAAGGATTGCTCCAAGTAGCACAGATACATTGACTAGATGTGGACAAATCATTCCCACACCAACATAAGTTGCCGAGAAGTCAAAGTAAAATCTGTTTGAATGAAAAACGAGCAAAGAACCTGTTTTTATACGCTTTTGTTGCGATTATAAATCGGACTAATATAAAATATAATATACCTGTTTTTATACGCTTCAAGACCAAATGTGGGAAAATTTAAAAATCCGCAGTCATCTCCTGCCTTGAAAAACCACTGGAAGAAACCCCAGAGGAAACTGAAAGAAAAAAATTTCCCAAGAGTTCTAACCTGTTTCCTGCAACAAATGATTGGAATTAAATTACTCGAAAAGATTGTAAGGTAATGGGGGCATAATATATTGAAATTAGTATTAGTCTCACTTTGCGAGCTTAGCTCCCTGTGGGGTATGGAAACTGTTGATTAGATGAGCAGTTGCAGTGCCACTTGGATACGTGAGTTTGAAGTCTATTATCATTACCTGAAACAAATTATTATACCGTAAGATCACTGCATAAAGCATAAATATGTATAATTCTATCAATCTGTACTGTCACGAATGTACCTTTCGAAGCGGAACAACTGAAAAGAGCCCAAGAAAGCTGACAACAAAGAGAAATCCAATCATCCATGCCACCCCCGGGTTCTTGATATTCTCGGGATTGTTAGCTATAGTCATTTGCTTGGCAACAGACTCGCTCATGCCAAACATGTAGCTTCCAAAGCCTCCTGTTCATCCAATTTGCCCACCAAGCCTTTCGATTAATGTATTGAATGGAAAACTAATACATGGAAATTAACTTAAACCAGACCAGTAATCAAAATTTGGCAGGTTTGCATCTATCAAATTCAGTGTTGCAAAAATCCTGCCTAGGCGCTAGGCACCAGCCGGCCGCCTAGCATATCACCATAATCGGTGGTCTAGGCATAGCGAGTCCCCTAGATGGTATGTAGGTTGTCCTAATAAAAACTAGCTTAAAAGTAAATACAAAAAGTGGTTACTTATTTGTTACAATGATCATATGATTCTCAACAAAATAATTTACTAATACGAAGATACTCATTACCATAAATAATGTAGATAATGACGAAGCATGAAGACTTGAAAAAATCATGAATTCCAAAAGTTTGCCATAGTGTACACGCCCGAGTGTCAAAGACGCAAACTTTTTACCAAACTAGAGCTAAGAGCATGCATCAATTTCCATAGTGTACGCGCCACTAAACCTATCTCAGAAAGAACTACATATGACTAGATGCTTAATGTTTTGTCCTCTAATACATAACACGCATTGTCTATTTCAGAGTTTGAAAGTTCAAAGAACAAAAATCGCTATCAATTAAGTAAAGCAACTAAGGTTGTCTATTGCACAAATAAAATAGAGTATAAGATGATTAAATGCATGGATAGAGGAAAGTTTTGAAGGTGACAAGTGACTAGTAACCATAAGATGCTACTTTTTTTTTTTTTTTTGGTCCTTTTTCTTTCGGTGAAAAGGAAAACCCGCGACCACTACCCAACCAGGGGTGTGCACAACTACACAAGATAAACCCACTAAGACCAATAGACCGCTCTTACTGAAAGTCGAACTTAGAACTTTCTAGTTACCAAACTAAAAGCTAACTACTAACTATTTTTGTAGAAAGGAAAAGTTGAAGGTCAGTCAGAACTAGGGGTGTAAACCAGCCGAGCCGAGCTCGAGCTCAAAAAAACAATAGGTAGACTCGAGCTTGGCTGAGTTGTGAAATGAACCCGCTCGAGCTCGAGCCTAGCTTTGACCGAGTGGCTCGGCTCATTTATACCCTAGTCAGAACATGTGGATTAAAGGGCAATTCTGTAAATTTTTACAAAGTCCATTCCTAACCAGAATGAACATGGAAGGAAATGAAGGTTGGC